TTAGCCTTCACTGGTGGGTCGTCCATTATAATTTCATGAATTCTATCGAAGATTTCTGATGTAAAAAAGTTTTTTGGTACTACAGTTTGAGATGAGAATAAAAAACTTTAAGCAAGCAAGCCCAAGTTTTTCATTCTAAGTGCAGACTGGCACTGACACTGTTTTTCGATTCGAGCTTAGATTAAAAATTTCAGCAATCGCCTCCCTCCTGCTGTGGTCCTCAGCAATGCAAATTGATTAAGGCATTCCTCTAAACTTAAAATTTAGAAACCTTGAAAGATCAATCAAATTTGCCAGGCTTCTTAATTAATTTTTTTTTCAAGTTTGGAGGGATTAATTCCAATGAGCAATTCAAATAATAGCAGCTTCTAATCTATCTATTAAAAAGAGAGCACTCAAGTCTTATGGTAGGAAATGTAGGAAGCTAGGAAATGTAAATCTCAAAAAAAAACTGCAAACGAAGACTCACATTGTTCAATGATTGGTAGGGTTCGCCGATCTAAACAGGCAAAAAAACTCGTATCCTAACCCTCTCCCCAACGAAAACAACGACGACCGTCTATACCACCTGGACGAAGGCAGATAAACTTAAATTAGGGATTCATGACCTGGAAAACTAATAACGCTGGCAAATAACCCGAAGGCCTTGTGAACAGCAAACAATTTCCAGAGCCTCTTTCCTGGTACGTCAGTAGGAATCTTTTCGAATACAAGGCGAGATCAAAACACACCCGACAGAACCATTGAACCCGACGACGCACAGTGGTACATTCCCTAACCTCAAAAACGTCTTAAAAATGCCATAAAAAGTGCATCGATGAATATATAACACCGAAATTATGTCCATATATTTACAATAATGCTATGTGTGAACCCTCAAAACGTGAATGTAATCGGTTTATTTTGAATTATAACACCCATAAAAACTTAACCTCAATAAGGCGTTTCTGAAGGCTGTAAAAATCGGACCGATGAACATATATATCATTCCGAAAACATCCAGAAAATGGGAGTAATCGGTTTTTTTACCCATAAATACTATTATTGCTATATAATGCCACTAGGCATTAAATTGCAAAAATGACAAATGACAAAGTTGGGCATTAAAAAATATTCGTGTCACTACGTTAAAAAAAGTGTCATTAAGTTCACTTCCACATGACATTTTTTTAAATGGCATATACTTTTTGTCATTTCAATGCCTTGTGGGAATTGGGCATAAGGCTACGTTAAAAAAGTGCAAATATGTGTAATTTTTTCTGAAAATTGTAAAAAATATTCAGGTCTTTATTTTTTTTTTCATAGCTACAAGACGGAGGGAGACCGGTTAAACTATAACTAACAAAAATCGGGTTGATTAAATGGTACAGTTAAATCACATTTTGTTTTAGCTAAATCTGGTTTTATTATTTTACGTAAAATGCTTTGTTAATTTTTTTGAGCATTTGATTCGATACCTCAAATTCAATAAACATTTGTTTAAAGAAATCTTTGGGTTTTAAAATGGCAGAGAGTGCTGAAATTTCCAGTTTATTTCTTGTTTTATTCAAACTGATATGGGAAAATATTCTTTCTACATTTGCTGTGGCGAAACTTACAAAAAAACCGAAAGAGAAATTTTAATTTATTCGTTAAAATCGGAAACTTCGAAACTGGGACTAGGAGGTAATTTAAGTAACTGCAACTTCTTCCAAAAACTGTAATTTACAGTTGAAACTGTAAATCTGGCAACATATAATGGCGTACCCCACATAGCAATACAATAAAGAGCTCAAAAGGATGGCTAGTTGAGTCGGCATTAAAAAGGATTATTTGTTCTTGACTTTACACATTTTCTTTGAGAACAAAACTTTTTTTTTTATATGACCCCCGCAATTAATTAACTTTGCAATTTCCTTTAACTAATCATCATCATTCTTCTTCTATTTGCAGTTCGGCCTTCGTCAGTTGGATCTCTCACTACTCTCGCAACTGTGGGCGCTCAACGATTCGATACAGGAATTTCGTACGATGCTAGAGTCACAGGAACTTGAACCTGACTCGTATTCGCCACACTCACCGACGCCCTCCTCTTACGATTCCGTCTCAAGTGATGCCGAAGATGAAACTTCAGCCACAACAAATAAAACAAAAAAGAGCAAATCAGCCGACATTAATAAACCAAAAATAATAACAACACAACCAAAATTAACTCAACGTTCCAACTCAGCAACGGAACGAACAAGTAATCTAAGTGCGACAGCACCACAACGACCATCACCGCCGAAAATTCTCGATATGAGACCTGTACCGCGCATGCGCAGTGCGCCACCACCACCGCCCGTCAATCGCAAATCGGCAGCACCGCCACGCCCCACATGATGCTACCTAACCGACTTCCTCGCCAGCGTAAAGATGGTCATGTGCAAAGCGATTATAAGCAACAACGGCAGCAGCTGCAGTGATGCGCTAACGGGATTGAAGCACTGAGGGAGATCGTCGTAATTGAGGCATGAAGAAGAATAAGAATCGAAGCGTTGAAAGTGGGCTGCGGGCGAGGAATTTCGACTGGTATTGAGACAAATTTTTAAAATAAAATAAGGAAGTGGAAGTTATTGATCATCTGCTGTGAAGCAAGAAAACGCTGCAAATAAGCCTTAAAATAATATTCTTTAAATAATTGAATTTAAGTTCGTAATTGAAGACAGCGAGCGCTCTTTGTTTGGCAATAAACATAAAGCGCATTAAACATTGTGATTTAAGTGATTGCAAAATTTAGCAACAAAGAAAGAAAGAAAAAAAAATGCAAATAATATTTGGAAAACCGCATGTGTGGTATTAATTTAGTTAGTGATATGTACGTGTAGTTGTAATTTGCTGCAATGCGTCTCAATGCGTTACGTAGCAGCACCTAGGCTGTCCTTCACTTAGGCTGACATACATATGTACATATGTATGTATGTATGTATGTATGTATGTATGTAGGTAAATACACACATGTTTAAAAATGCTGAGCAAAAGCTTAAGCTCTTGAAATTAGGATATACTTACTTATTAATGATTCGGCTGTTTTTTCGCTTTCGAAACTCTAAAAATCTCATATGTAAACTTACGTAACGTGTAAACACGTTTTTTTTTTCTAACAATTGTATAAATATTTCGATGACTTGGCACCTCTGCTGAGTACTTCTTTATCTTATTTAATACTTCACATATTTACAACTTTATTGAAGCGGCGAGCTTATAAGCTAAATTAAATTGTACTGTATTTCTAACTGTATATACACTCACACATACATACGTTATGTAACTAAGTAGTATGCAAGTAACGTAATATATGTAATAGAATGCAAAAAGAGAATATATTGAGCGATGCTTGAACTCTGCGTACTAATGCTGTTTGCTAATAATGATTATAATTAAATGCTACTGTAAATATGAAAAATTTTAAATTTATAAATAAACAAAAACAAAATTACAAACGATAATATTTTTTATTTACATATGTAAATGCTTTTAACCAACTTCCCGATAAGCTTGGGACTTGAAATTTCAAGCTTAGCTCAGAAGGCGGCGACAATGCAATGTGAAGTATGTATTTATGCTCTAGGTGGCGCAGTTGTCGAGAATTGACACTACAGAAAATTTAGCCGTTAGGTGGTTTAAAAAAGTTTTGTAACTTTCTTTTTTTTATTTCCCCAAAAATAATTGAACTCAGTTCCAACCTAGTCCAAATGTCATCAAATCAGTTTTCGCTAAAGAGAGCTATTACTAAGTGTCCGTTAATATGAAATGAACTAATAATAATAAAAAAAGCTTAAAAAAGTTCTGTCCACATGGCTATGAAGTAGCCAGCTCTGCATTACCTACATTTGTAGGTCGGTTGCACTGATTGCAATGAAAATTGCTTATAAGACGGACAAGATGTCTGAATACACTGGTTTACAGAAAAAGTGTTTTTTTTTTTTTTTGGATGCCACTATCCAATTCCTATGTGGAATTTCTCGGTGATTTCGAAAATTTAGTAAGTTTCGTTTTCTATGGATAAGTTTTCGAGATATTTTCAATTTACCATTATTCAGCTTGAAAAAAGGTGGTTTCACTTAATCACGCATATCTTACGAAAGAATTGAAAAACCTTAAAACTAGTGAAAGAAAATGAAAGTTAATGAAAGCTAATAAAATTTCCCATAAACCGTGTATACATCAGAATTCTATGGGTCCAACAATTTCTAAGAAATTAATGAATCATACCAGATTTTTATTTTTTTTTTATGGAAAAATGAAAACAACTCAAACTTTAACAAAGGTACAAATTTAAAAAACAACAGATTCTGTGTAAGTTGTTTACTTTTTTGTTAAATCCTGTTCTTTTACAAAACAATTAAGGTACTGGAAGAAAATCGATTTATATATAAAGAAGGAATGAGTGGTCAAATAAAAATGCCCAACGATTTTTTTTCATGAAAAATAAGCAGGAAAGAGTGTTGTTCATACGCCAATTAAACTCTACACTAGGAAAGAAATTAACTAGATTTTCGGAATCAAATGTATGTATATAGTGTAATGATTCCAGTAACTTCATCTTATAAATAGAAGTGGAATTTTTTTTGTTTAAAACTAATAAAGTTAGAAGAACGAAATTCGAGGATGTGGTAGTTTATATATTAGTTCTTGACATATATTTGTTTAAAAATAAATATTGGAAATTTTCCAGGATATTCAAGGATAAATTTTTAAAAGGACATTTTCAACACTTATTCGTCCTGGTGTACCAAAATATTATTATTTTTTTCAATTCTACAGAATTTTTCCTTTTTATTGATACCCATATTGTTGCTCTACAATGCACCAAATTTTTAAAATAATTTTTTATTCAATCATATCCTAGAAATTTCAAAGTCATTTAAAAAAAATCTTGACGTCAGAGAGAAAAATTGAAAGCGCAACTATATTTAGCTCCTAGTTTTGTGAATATATTAATTTTTTCGTGTCGTTTTGACTGTCGCACGGTGTTATTGGACCATCCTAATGTAGAGAGTGCACGCCCCCTCGATATATCGATATCATAGGGAAGTAGAACGTAAACTAAATTTGGTTCTTATCGGTCATTTTAAAGGACAAATGAATAAAATAATTTTCCGACGAGACTATTTCCCCTGAATTTTCCATTAAAATCGTTTATTTATTCATTTTATTTTGTTTTAGCTATCTCGTTTCATTCTCGAGAAATTACTCTTTGCCCCTTTTTCCCCAAAATAGAACATAGTACGGCATCATCACATGTTAGTATGATATTGCCACAAGCTGGGCTGCCCTCTGCAGGTTGCATTTCGTATGCTGGGAAGACTCTTTGGTTGCTATGGAATAAATTTTAATTTACAGCCGTTGCCAGCAGTACAGCGAGTTGTAATGTATTTGTAGATTATATATTTATTGTACAAATAAAGTTAAAAATAAAAAAAATAAAACAATTTTGAATTTTTAAATGATTTTTTGGAAATAAATTACGTTTTTCGGAGTTAATGGGACATTTTCTGATGCTGAACACCACATTTGGGTACCTTTTATCGATCTGTCTTGAAAATATTTCTTGGCCCCTGCAGAGCTACAGAGTAATGAAGCACTTGTCAAATAGGGGAATTGTCTACTTTCAGCAAGACAGATTGTTCTACGAAGAACAAGACACTTTAGAGCACATTATGTTCCAATAGCCCCAGACTTTAATTTATAGAATCACAGTACCTAAACGCGCATAACCCAAATAGCACAACGCAATGAAAAAGATCAAGATTTTTTTTATATTTAAAAACCGCAAAAGTTATTAATTTGTATATGGTAATATACTTTTTTATATAAAAAAAGAAGTTATTGGACAGAGAGCAATAAAATAATTTATATGCATTTTTTAATGATTTTTTGAAAAAAAATCAAAATTATTTATTATAATCAATAGATTGCACTGCTTTCCGCTTTTTTGTTGGCTGATGTTATGGATGTATGCTGGGCACTTAACGTGCAATTGAACTCAACAAAGTTCTGTAGCATAACATTAGGCATAAAATCAAGTAAGAATAGTGATTACCCAGCATAAAAAGCGACTGCTCTGGGATGATTCCAGTCTTAGTTCCAATATCTCATAAGACTAGCGCCCCTTCTGAGATGTTTGTGTGCACTGTAATGTACTGAATGTCCGAACGTGTATGGAAAGAGACTAGTCCGATTTAAATCAAGTCAACATGTCCACAACACGGGTAAAACCCCTTATTCGAAGTACCTAAACGTTACTCACATAATAATCTCGGCACTCACAACAAAATGAAGAAATCTTTGATATGTATTTGGGTATACCAATTTTTAATTTATACATCACTTTGAAAGTTTTTGTTTAATCCAAAAATAAGGAACAGGTTTTCATACAAAATAAAAAAATTTAATTGAAGTAGATTTTTTTTATAAAAAAAATGGAGTAATAATTTAATTTCTCAAAAACTATCACCTACCGAAAAGTGATGTATAATGGAGAATTTCGTTAGCTTCCATTTTCCGTATTTCATTTTAAAATTGTTAAATTGGTTCGTAAGATATACATGATTAACGCCCAATCTTAAAGTGACGAGTTAACTTTCGTTCGGCAGGTAACTACAGGTTTTCAGTACAAAAATTGAAATTCGACCACCGAATTTGAGTAAACCCCTCACTGTGCAAACGTCACTAAATGGGAAAATTTTTTTGAACTTAATCTGAGCAATTCTATATAGGAATCGGACAGTGGCATCTGGTGAACAACAAAAAAAAATTGTGATCCAATGGAACCGCTTATTTCCCCCACATCGATTATACACGTCGCAAGGCTTGGGGTATGATTCAAAATTTGTAGCGATGATTCGAGTGAGGTACAAGTCTTTCATTGTATCAAAAGTAATGAGTAAAGTAATGGGTGTTAATGGGCACAATAGGTGTTCTGGTCGCAGTGCATAACTTAGTATTAGTAACGAATACATACGCGTATCCAAAATTTCGTAACTTTTGCAGCGATATTCGCCACTTGCTACTTGCTTGGCGAATCAAAAACGGCCATTGTTAATATATGCTAGAAAACGCAGGCATATAAACCAAGAGCCTGAATGTATGCAACGTTTCATAACCAAAACATGTGTCTACAGTGTGGAGAAAAACATATGAATTGGCTTGAGTGGATATGCACGAAAAAAAAATACGGTGGTGTAGTATTATGACAGATTTTATTATTACAGATTCATCACTGACTTAATAATTATACGTGTTATTTATTCCATGGATGTTCATCCAACGATTTGTTTTTGGTGTTAATATTTGCTTAATATCATTTCGCTCTGTATTTTTTAAACATTTCTGTTCGAAACGTTTTAGCGGTTTGTTTTATAATATTTGGCACACCCTAATACAGTTATCGATTGT